TTGTAATGGGTTGCTCTATTAAAGTATCTTGTAATGCCTATTAATTACTTAACTATTCAGTTAGGGACATACTGGATCTCCTTTGCAGACTAAACTCTGAATGAAAAATAAAAGCAAAATTTATAGCTTGAGAAACAGTGTAGCTTGAGAAACAAAGTTCTTTGCCTAAATGTTTTTGTGAGGTCAGTAAAGGAGAAAGGAGGGCCTTGGCAGCAAACACCATAAGGGATGGCAAGTCAGGGTTTGCCTAATGAAAGTAATGAGTGACTGAACAAAACTCACTTACCTGTCTTTTCACCCACAAGTGATGAGGGACAAATCAAGATTCTTACTGATTCTATTTCCTGAACATCTCAAATTCTCCTTCCTTTTTTCTCTTACTTCCTGGCATGCCATCCTCTGCTTATCCTGTCAACTGGACCATGCCAGAAGCCAGTTAACTAGTTTTCCTGTTCTAATCCACCCTCCAGAGCACTGCTCTAGCAACCTTTCTAAAACATAAACCTGGTAATGTTGCTCCTATTTATTAAAACTCTTACCTGGCTCTTTATCACCACCTGCAGGATTAAGTTCAAACTTTAGCATGTCGCTCAAGGTTCCAAAGGCATCCACTGTTTGTCCAGACACTCCACTAGTGTGCTTCCCACTGAAGACCCCCTCCTGTCCGAAATTCGTAACTACGCAGGATTTCACAAAGGGTTTTACTATATTCGTCTGGGATGAATAATTTGCTATTATTCATCTGGGAAACAAGTTCTTAGTCCTTCAAAACTAGCTCTAAGGTCACCTCTGGAAAATTATAAAGGCTCATGCAGAGATTTGCTCCCTCCATACCTGGTATACATTTTCAATCTTAGCACAGTGTCTGACAAGAAGAAATTGCAAATAAGTATGGATCAGTATGGTGACCAAAGAAAAGTACATTAAGAACAACTCTGATCACCAAAATGGAAACTACACACAGCACCCACACCATCGGGGCTGTTCAAAGTTACCACTAGCAAGCATCATGTCAGGGAGGAGAGGAAAAAGGTTCTGGTAACACACAAAGCTCCCAATGTTGAGCACAAGCCCTCACACCTATGTCACTGCCCTGAGAACCAGCCACCGGCACCAGGGTGAATATTAAATGGGAAGCAAGCCGTGCATCCTGCAGACTTCTACCTGGTTTTGGTCACACCATCATTCCTCCTCAGTGTCCTTAACAGACCAGGTTTTCAAGAATTACATAAAGTTGGGGAACAGTACAAGTTAGTAGGCGTGCCGCGCAGGGGAGATACTGAACTCACTGGGCTGTAGGGCTGGTGGATGAGGCATTAACTAAGACACAGTTGTGCTGACAGGCTCCTTGGGGCCTGCAGCTTTGTGCTAGGAAGGTTGACAATATCTGGCAGTAAGAACTCTTTTGAGCCCGCCCGCCTCTGGGCACACTGGTGTAGTAAGCAAAATTTCTTAGGACAGGCCCAAAATAATTTAACAGCTTTTTAATGCATTAGAGTGATCTGAAGTTTGCCAACTTTAAAAACTGCCATCTCCTTATTTATTTGATTAAAAATGTTAATGTAGCTAAAGAAACCACAGAAACTAGTTCACAGGCCACCACGTCATCCAGCAGTTTTCCCAATTCCTACAGACTGGTTGGTTAGAGTCATCTGGGGAGCACTCAGAACATTTTATGTTTCACTATTTGGAGGAAATTAACTTAGATATTTCTCAAACTCTTGTAAAATTCTAGTAAACACTATCTTCTGTAAGAGTGTTCTAACACATAATCTGTTTATTAAAATTGTCTTTATAGTACTTATGAAACTTAAAAATCAATTTAAATTTGAACACCTAAATAATACTCCAAAATGAGAATTCTCAGTATATATAATATTACGTAGAACACAAAAGCATTATTCTAAATATATTTCACTTTTGTGTTCCCTTAGGTACCTGGTTCCTCTCAAGAACACAAACTAGAATTTATAAAATAACAAGGGCATAATACTTCATTTATTTTATACACTTACTTTTTGACAATTATAAAGAGGAACAAGACTTCTGTTACAGAGGTAAAATTAATATATTAAGGATTAGGTAGAAAATGCCTACTTTAAAAAGTGGACATCTTGGGACTCCTGGGTGGCTCAATCAGTTAAGCGTCTGCCTTCAGCTCAGGTCATGATCCCAGAGTCCTGGGATTGAATCCCACGTCGGGCTCCCTGCTCGGCGAGGAGCCTGCTTCTGCCTCTGCCTGCCGCTCCCCCTGCTTGTGTGCTCTCTGACAAATAAATAAAATCTTTAAAAATAAAAAAATTTTTAAAAAAGTGGACATCTTGGCAAACATTCATTGTCATCTGATTTTAAATGATTTTTTTCTAGCACATACATTAAAAATTCACATTTGTCATAGAAAGCAGTTTCTAAAATACAAATAGACTTTTTCTGAAGAGTTGGGAAGTCACATTTTTAAAGTTTATATATACAATAAAATATACATGTGAAAAGTAAAACATCTAATCAATTAGTATAACCCCAGCAACACAATGTTTGTCACCATATTTAAAAGCATTTATTTAAAATATGTCAAACTCCTTCCAAAAGACGGAAGACATGAGCCCATTTCTTTTATTAACGAGGTATATGGTAACAGTAACAAAATTCCTAAATGCATATGGACCATCAGTTGCCTAAATATAAAAATGAACTTTGGCAAGGATATAAGTGTTATACAGAACAACACAGCCAATGCACCATCTCCCCATATCATGGCCCTCGTCCCCCATTCACCCTTCCTGCTTTCAAAAGGTGAGTTACAACCCTGCCCCAGATGACTCAGAATTTTAATTATGTGGTCTGCTAATATTTATTTTTCTCAAACCTCAGTACTAAAGCTATAACAAATTACACTTTTAAAATATTTGAAACAGATATTGAATTTATTGGTTGGCTATGAGTAGGAAAATACATCAGTAAAGAAAAGAGACCCTGTATATAAATATAATACTAGCTAGTTACAATTTGACCAAGAAGGTTCCACTGAAAAGAACAGTAAAAGCCCTTGTTACCACCAGTCCATAGGTACATATTCGGTTTCCCATCACCCTTATCAAAGAGCTGCCTAGGCAAATGTGACATTCTTTGAGCTTAGTGCAGATAATGTGCTGGGTTTTGTTACATGAATGGTAAACAAAAACTAGTCCAGTGCATTACACAATATAATGTACTGTGAATAAAGACTAGATACTCTATTTTAGACACTACTTCAACATACCGGTTATTAAATTTTATGTAACCAAAAAGAAGAGCAAAGTGAACATCTTAAAATACTGTTTACGAGTAGGGGAGAAACACTTGCTAAAGGTGTTCTTTAAATTATCTGCAGTATTTGTATTGAAAATTCTGACTGGTTCATCAAAAGAACAAACTGCTGTAACTATTCTGCCTAGGTTGGCTTTTGTCTTATATATGACATGACCCCAAAACCTTAAGCCACTATGGAAACTAATTCCATGAATTTAAATAGTAAAAAAAAAAAAAACAAAAAACAAAAAACGGAATAATACAATTGGAATTTATTACTGAAAACCTGAATCTTAGAAGAGCTCTGAACTGTTAATTTCAACATTTAGAAGTGCATCCCACCCAATTTAATAATGTCCTTAGGTTTCAAAGTGCTAACTCTCCTGGCTGTCACCAAATCAAGAATAAAAACACATTTCTTGGAGATGTTCCTTGACTGTCTTCTAGGACTAGTAAAGTTGCAATCAACAATTTATTTCTACAACTTTAGTTTAAATTATGCCATAAATTAATTTTGATGAATATTTAAATTCTCAACGCATAAATAATTACCAATAACAGGGTAAATTGTACTTCAAGAGATTTACAACAAGGAATTGTGTGCCTCCAAATTTCTGATCAGTAAAAACAGAAAACATACCCCAAATTTTCTGTAAAACATTCATAAAATGGATTTATCCAGCAAAAACACTGAAATTACATTATGGCAACACCACATTAAATAGATCTGTTACAGAATTTGATAAAAAATCTACACTGAGAAAACATACTAGTTTTTATTGCATTTTAAAGAGTATGGATTATTGGAAATTATCCAGGACACAGAAGATATTTAGAACACAAAACCTTGCTTAACAAAAGTATCAATCTATTTTGGTGTGACTGTTTATTCCCTACAGACCCAAAATATTTCTTCCTCTTTTGAAGGTTACAGTTGTAAGACTACACTCTTGGTTCAATTTATCACTATCTAAGTAAGATGGAGAGGCTGTTCAAACTGACCTACAGAACGCAGTGTGCCCAGATGAGGCAAGAACAAATAGTCTCAAGACATTAACAGGCCCTTATATCTTACTATGCTGCCCCCAAATTCAAATATATTGCAGACAATAACAAATACAGATGAAAACATTTTTGTGTAAAGCTCAAACCTTTAGCATCTAACAAGTGCACTCTAGTTCCAGCATCTATGAAAAGAATACATCCTCCATTAACAAATACAAACGGGTAAGTGCTTCTCCCCTCCCTCTCCATAAAGCTCTCTGGACCTGTTATCACATAATGCAGATCCCATAGGAAAAGCGGTCTCCTTGCCTCATCAGTCCAACCAGCTCCAGCTCACCTTCGCTGGAAATTGTCAGGATGCACATTACCTACACAGTGTTTAGGAAAAATGAGTAAACACACCTTTTATTCACACCTTACAATAAAAATAAAATAAAATAAAATATAAAATAAAAAAAATAAAATAAAATAAAATAAAAACAAAAACCCCATAAAGAGTTCTGCATTGGTTCTACATCAATAAAACCAGCTTTCCAATGTACTGATTATAAACTGGACGTGTTTGGTGTCAGCACAACTTAAACAAAAAATAAAAAGCCATCACAACAAAATCTTAAAAAAACCTCAAAGGAAAAACCAGGTCCCAGACAAAGATTCAAGATCAAAACCTTTTGGAAAATTCTTTAAAAAGAAAAAAAAATCATTCATTTAAACAGTAGGTAATTTTATTTTCTCTTAAAAACAGAATAAGCACATTTAAGTGCTTAGTATTTTTCATAAAATTTTAAGTCATTATTCAAAATGACTCATTTTCTGTATAAAAATTGTTAATAACATTTCAACATTTTTCTTACTGCTCATATGTTGTCCTTTTGCTCCCCTGCCTGCAGTTGAAACAAAAGCAGTTAGACCAAGTTCCCTCTGAATTCATTTGATTTTTGAGAGAAGAATGAATGAGAACAGAATACATACAAGTTAACTTTGCAAAGTTAAAAGCTAGCTTTAATCTCTCATCTACTACTGATGCTACGCGCAAAATACAGGGTGCAACAGAATTTTTACCTTGGTTGACCTGTTAAAATGACTTAGTCACTTTATAAATGATCTGAAGAATTGTCTTAGGGACCTGTTTTGAAAATACATCTCATTTACACTGCTTCATAAATGGAAAATTATTTTTTTTAAAAAAAAGGGAATGATTTTTAAAAAAACACGGAGACGAAGGAATACGTGGAAAACAAAGAATTCACATGATAGTAGTATTCCGGGTGACGGACGGCATTGTGCAAGGACACCAAGAAGCAATGCTTGGGTCTGGTGAGCAAAGACCCAGGGACCCACCTATGAACATGTTCCAAAATGTGATATTCAATGCTTCACAATGGAAAAAAAAGCCACAGCTTATACAAAAGCGTTTTCATAAAATTCTCACAAATGTTAAACAGTATTTAAAAAATATAAAAGAGGCTGCACAGATTCTCTCTGCATGCACAGGCAGTGCTTGGTGAGAACAAATTTAGGCAGGCACAGTGGAGATAGGACAGGAAGTGTCTCAAAAAGGAGTTAAGAAGCTGCATCCAAGCAGCTGTAATTTTTTAACTTAAAAAAGTTAAAGATTTAAAAATATCAGAATGTACATATATCAACCATTACATTCAGTCCATAAATGCCTACAGATCATTCACTGCTCAGCTTATCTGTCCTGGTAGATAGCTTTTGTAAAAACCCAGGAATTCATGGATAAGTTGCCTCTGGTCTGAGAAAATGTCCAAAGCTTTAAGCAGATTTAGATTTAAAGAGCAATGTTCTCAGTTTAAAAATAAAGTAGTACAAAAGGGCCAACAAAACCCTAACAGTGCAAATCATCAGCAGAGAAAGTCTGTTGCAACTTCTTTTACAAGCTGGCCTTTATAACACATGAAACAGTAAAAAAACTTAGCCTTATGTTTACAATACAATCATTTCCAAATCTGATTTTTTTAGTACAAAATTTCATAAATCAGGTCTTCTGTGGATCATATACAATCATAAAGGCTAAATTCAAAGTCTCTATTTTACAAACAAGTCTGAAAAGGGAGGGAGTAAAGTATGGAAGAATGGTCTCTGGATGTTATTACTGGCCTCAAAAAAGTAGTGCTACAGATTTCTGTGCAAAGAGAATATGCTGTTCAAACATTTTCCTATTTCAAGGCATGAAAATATTATATTGGATAGAAGAAACAGGAAAATTACTTGTAACAAATTAAAGAGAGGTGTAAACACACCAATCCCTGTCTAACAGTATATAAAGCATATTGGGCTCAGAATTTGTTGCTAGCACCTGGCTTTCATACTATATCCTTATCAAATAATCAAGATTGAAAATTCAAATCATCAAGAAAAAGGAAAAAAAAGAAAAAACAAAACAAAACAAAACAAAAAAAACAAACCCTGGTGGCCATACCTCACTCCCCTATAATCAGATTTTATGAGTTTACAAGTGAAACTGAGGTCGTCCTCTGAAGGTACTTGACTACCTCCTGCCAGGAAGGTGAATGCCGTTAACTTGGGGCAGGAAAGGCAGTAAGAGCTCCAGTTGTGCAAAAAGTGAGAAGTGGTCGGAGGGGATGAGTGGGTGTGGGCAGCCACTGATATTATTCTCAACTAGCCAATGGTGGTCCAGAGGTCCCAGGATGCCTAAAGTGTTCAGCTGAGGTTTCGAATAGAAGATGTAGTCAATGATACCCTGAAAAACAAAGAAAAAAAGATGAGGCCTCACATAAGCTAACACTGAAACACTGAGAGCTTTCAAGACGTACCCTCACAGTCATGTTTAGTAAACGTGGGAAGAGGCAGTACTACATAAACCAAATGGTCCCCCACATGTCAAATCTAGCAGAATGAAAACAGTTTAGGGATGATAATCATTCATTCTTCCTCATTTCTGGACCTTTTCACAATCTTTAATGAGACCTACAAGATCCTTCATGGTATGGCCTCAGCTTCTCTTTCCTAACTTGATTTGTATTATTTTCCCACACTGACTACTCTATTACCACACCGGCCCTTTTTTTTGAGGGGGGGTGGTGTTGGGAGGGGAGAAGGACATTCCTTGTAGGTGCCAAGCTCCTTCCTGCCCCAGGGCCTCCACACACGCTCTCCCCTCTGCCTGGAGCACTTTCTTCTATGTGTCATTTGGCTAATTTCTTCTCAATATTCATGTCAAGTTCATTCACCTTCCCAAGTCCTTCCTGAATCTTGCCCCCACCCACTTACTACCTGCTACCACCTCCAAGTCTCTTCTCTTGCTTATGCGCACCCTGAGGTGTTACTACACACTCATTTGCGTGGGAGAGACCGGTCTCTCCCACAGGACTGCGAGCTCCACGAGGGCCGGGACATCTCTGCCCTGCACACTGCCAGCAGCACCCAGGCCCAGCACTGGGCACCCAGGTAAACACCTCTCAGTTTGCCCCTCTCCTCCCTGTACCTTCAGCCTCTCCTCCACATGCTTTCAGCCAAAAATATTTAAGCACATTCAAGTGTCTTCCTCTTATCTCTGTATCAGCAACAGGAACAGAAAGAAAAAAGAATCCCTAATCTCTCCTACCTTTTCGTTATCACCCTCACCTCCTCTTCAATCAATCTGCTTCAAGTAAGAATCTCAACGTTGGTTTTTACTACCTCCTTGCCCAGCAATATTCTTTAACTCTCCACATTCTAGTCTCGGTGCCTAGCTTGCCAGTGAAGCATCTCTCACCAACAGTTTTTGGAAGCTGAAAGCATGCTTCTTTTCCCCAAAAGGCCTTCCTGCCTTGGCAGTTGGGCTCCTACACTGTCCTGGTTTACTTCCTCTCTCTGGCCACTCTTCTGTCACTTACACGTTCCTTTTCCCCAGAGTCTGCTCCAGCCTCTCTTCATCTCCACACACTCATCTGTTCCCAGGGTTAAATCATTATCTACAGCACTGCGGCCCCTCCAAAGTCAAATTTAAAAAATTTCAAGTTTTTCAAGTTTCTCAAAGAAGACTAACAAACAGCCCTCCCATCCAAAATTAAGATCCAGTTATCACTAGTATTTAACACTCTAACACACAATCTAACCTGAATGATTCTTTTTCCAGGAGGTTAGAAACTAAGATTCAAGAGCTAAAATGCAAAAGATAGTTAAAAAGAACAGATGAATGCAAGTCCTAAACAACCACTGATATTAAAAATGAGAAGCTCCATACTGTAAGCCATTAACTGTGTCTGAATGCATATAAATAGAAGATGTATTTTCAAAAGGCTAATATAAACCACATTTTGGCTCAAGGAGTACAGTTTCAGTTAAAATATGAGAGATGAAATATGTTACTCCAACGGGCACCAAATTAAATACTATGGTACCTTCTGAACAGCTGTTAGCAATGAACATAATTGCCCCAAAACAGTGACAGTAAAACTCAGGATTTACTATCATTAGTTCATCTGATTTCTTACCCTGGCAACGACTCTAAGAGGTAACTATCAAGTAGGAACGGGACACCAATCACAGAAGAGTAATAAGAGAATACTGCTGTCAACTAATTCAAGATGGCTTACTTCCGGTCTCAACACACATCCACATTTCAAAGATATAATAAAATTACAAGACTCTCCCAAAAAATGGAGCTTTACAAAGTTTCTCAATCTCAAAAGTCACCTTGAAATCAAATGTCCATCAACAGAAGAATGGATAAAGAAGATGTGGTATAGGTGTGTGTGTGTGCACACACACACACACACAATGGAATATTATGCAGCCATAAAAAAAACCCCATGAAATCTCGCCATTTGCAACGACCTGCATGGAACTAGAGGGTATTATACTAAGCAAAATAAGTCGATCAGAGAAAGACAAGTATCGTATGATCTCACTGATATGAGGAATTCTTAATCTCAGGAAACAAACTGAGGGTTGCTGGAGTGGTGGGGGGCGGAAGGGATGGGGTGGCTGGGTGATGGACATTGAGGAAGGTATGTGCTAATGGTGAGCCCTGTGAATTGTGTAAGACTGATGAATCACAGACCCGCACCTCTGAAACAAATAATACATCATAAGTTAAAAAAAAAAAAAAAGAAGAAGAAGAAGAAGAAGATAGTAGGAAGGGAAAAATGAAGGGGCGGGGGAATCGGAGGGGGAGAGGAACCATGAGAGACTATGAACTCTGAGAAACAAACTGAGGGTTCTAGGGAGGAGGGGGTGGGGGGATGGGTTAGCCCGGTGATGGATATTAAGGAGGGCATGTACTGCATGGAGCGCTGGGTGTTATACGCAAACAATGAAGCATGGACACTGCTACACATCAAAAACTAATGATGTATTGTATGGTGACTAACATAACATAATAAAATAAAATTAAAAAAAAAAAGTCACCTTGAAATCGAACGTGTAATTTGTATAAGGCATCAGGCCACTCTCATAGGCACTCTTTAACTTGAAACCATGCGTGATCCTTCCATTGGTTGTCCCGTTTTTCCCATTACAGCTGAAGTTTGTAAGACTTTCATTGTATCTCAGTTCCTTAAAGTCTTTATGATTTGTTTCTACTCCACCAGTGCTTAAATACTCTACAACACCTATAATGAAAATACAGGTACTTTGTTCATTGTCCAGTATAATATGCAGTGTACAAAACTGAAAAAATGTAATAGTAACTACTTTAAAACACACAGTCCCCCTTTCTAAAATGTTTGTTATTGTTTTATTTTTTTTTTACATTTCCCAGAACTTATCTAAGTCCATTTTTACATGGTTTTGATCCTAGTATATTGAATATTTTATATTTTGCTGTGCTGGTGTTTCATATTTGTTAAACTAGTTCCTTATTTCTTAAAAAAATTCAGCTTGTTTTTACTTTTTTAAAGAGTTTATTTATTTAATTTATTAGAGAGAGAGCACGAGCAGAGGGAGGGAGAAGCTGACTCTCCACTGAGCAGGGAGCCCAAAGCAAGGCTGGATCCCAGGACCCTGAGTTCATGACTTGAGCGGAAGGCAGATGCTTAACTGACTGAGCCACCCCAGGCATCCCTTGTTTTTACTTTTTAAAAAGAGTTAACTCCATAATCAACATCTTACTATCTAGGTTTCTGCCTATGTTGACTTATTTACTTGGTATAAAATGCCAAGATTAGGATTAAATGTGCCACTATACATACTGTCAACCATAGAAGGGAATGCCACCAGCTAGACGGGCTCTGCAAATAGTTATTTTACTTTTCATTTAATTAGTAAAGTTGGACATTTTCCCATGTGTTTGCTATTAAAATACTGTATTTTTTTAACACTGAAATGAGGCTTAATATGTATTATTTGACTAGTCTCTCTTCGCCCCTTAGATACTCTGTAGTTAAACAGAAGGCAGGACACATGTAGAGAAACTGTCAGAGAACAATCCCCCACTGCTTCAGCAGCAGTGATCCCAGAGAGCTCTAAGAGATGGGCCGAAGAATTATGGATCTCAGATACCTTTACCTGTCCTGAAAACAAATTTTAACAGTTTTTATTTTCTTCCTGGCTCTCATCCATCATGACGGCAATGAACTGCAAGTGAACTGAACCACTCCAAATGTGTTTATACTTACATGCTTCAGGCACAGGTGCAAGGGCAAGGAAAAGTACTTTGTGCAAATGACAGAGTACAAACGAAGAGTTGAAATACAAAAAGGAATACTTAGTCTGACATTACAAGAACTATGGTTTTGTTCACTGTACTATCCAATGGAAAAGTATTCAAGAATAAGCCTTTCTGTATTCTTCTACATTGTAATAAAAATCAAGATCCCTGTTCTATTTTGTTCAAATCACTAGCCTGATCTGTGTAAATAAAGGATCTCAATTTCCACCCAAGGTGTATTGGTATCAAGCCCACCAATATTAAGATCCTGTAAATAGCCATTTACACTGCATCCTATTACTCCATGCTGGAATCCCAGAAAAGCTATCTTAATAACCTTCTCAGAGTTTAGATTATATGTGACTTGGGGATAATGAAACATAATCATATGTTCTTTAACAAGTTATTTCAAGTTATCAACTACATGTTTATCGAAGATGATTAATGTCCTTCCTCCTTGGGTGTTCATAACATCATCTCATTTTCAAAATAGTCTCCCTAACTACACATACAAAAAATGCTAAATCTGATTCATAGTTGCTGCTATAAGCTGAATTTTCATTTTGACTAAATTTGGAATTACCAAAAACAATATATTACAAAAACAATTCAGTCAAAAAAAAAAAAAAAAAAGCATTCTACATAAAATATCTTTTCTTACCAGAATCCGGCAAAGAATTAAGATCTGCACATAACACCAGTGGAATAGTTCCAAATTCTCCCACTACACTAGACTGGAGGTTTCGTGAGGCTTTATCAATAATGTTCTTCACTTCTGAGAGGAACATCATAGTTTGAACCAATTTCACATCAGAGTATTCAGGGTCCCAATGCATATGAGCATTAGCCACAAGAATAAGTTGTTTTTCTGTTCCAAGATGTGGCTTTCCAGCTATATTAGATAAAAAGAAAACAAAGAGACAGACAAAACCCGCCCATCAGCCCATATATTCTTACAGGATCTGAAAGCATGTAGTATATCTTAGAGTCTCAGGAACAAAAAAGGACCCTAAAATTTACCTAACAACCGTCCACCTGATGACTAAATCTACGGTAGCACAAACCTGAAAAACAGTCCTCTATGCTCTGGTTGAATAGTTTGAGGTAGGGCATTCAGTACTTGAACACACACAGCCCATTCTATTTGGGACAGCTTTATTTTTAAACAGTTGTCTCCTTAAAACTTCTGGCTTCATTCAGATGTCCTAAATTGAGTCTCACAAAATTAAATCTACATCCTTTTTCTTAGATATATTTAATACAGGCACTAAGTTCCATCTTTATTTTCTCTCCTTCAGGTTAAACATCTCTAGTCCCAACTAACTGTTCCTCAAAGTGACACAAGTTTCAGTTCTCGGCATGATGGTCACTCTAAATGTACTTTTAATTTGAAATAAGTGGTCCATTTATCCAAAACTCAAAACATTTAAAATAATGATTACAAGTAGGGCAGGAAGAGAAGTTAGCTTACAGAGTAACCTTGCTGCCACGAAATTATAGAAGGGTATGGAGTTCTTCTCTCTGAGCAGTTATTTTAGCTAATATTTATTTCAACATTTCTTTTACGTAAAAAATTATTGGGAGCAAAAAAAAACCCATTTTTTTCTTTGGCTTTATGCCTTTCAAAGTTTGAAATACTTTTCTGGGCACTATGTTCTCATCTTAAGCTTTGTGGTAGAGAAAAAGGGATATGGTATTTTAGAAATGACTTAAATTCTCACTGAGTTTCTTCAGGTGTTAGATAAGACTATTAATACATAACAAATTTTCTGCTTTCTATTAAATTTTGGAGGTCAATTTTACAGGAAGTGAAAAGGTCACTCACATGACATTTCAATCAATTCCTTTCGAAGTTCTAGCAGTACTGCAACTCCAATGTTATCTTTTGTCATGACTCTGTTCAGCATAGCTTCAGACCCTTCTGAATTTGCCATTGCTAGCTGATTAAATTCAACAGTGTGTTTCTGAACCAAAGTAAATCTAAAACACAAACAAAAACACACACACAAACATAGAATTGGGAATACCAAGGTATTAGCTTTGTGGGAAATGCAGTTTTCCCAAACTTTCTTAACAAATATGATGGCATGTAAATCACATTATGGAAAATCCTCCAACTTCACACCAAGCTTCCCACATCCATTTCAAGTTGTTCTCAGTCTGTTACTGATAAAAACAACATCTTGAAATACTTTTACAACTTAAGACAATGTAGTCATCTTCTGTTTTAAGTTTCATGTTGGAATATTCCATCTTGTAATTTTTAAATAATTCTTTTCCAAACTATAGGTTTAAGAATCCCTCTACCATCCTAGAGGGAATGATAATTCAGAGGTGTTTCAATTACCAATTGGAGTTAAACCCTAGTGAACACCTGAAGAAACAGCAGCACTTTCAACAAGTCTCCCAAACAAGATCACTTCTGATGCTTCAAAACCAAACCCTTCAACACTAAGAATACAACACTTCAGTCTCCGATTTGCCAACTAATTTCCACACCCCTGACTCCCTGCAAATACTGAGAAAATTTTCCTTTTTAAACATAAGATGACTTACTTTTCTGTCTTGAAGAATACTGCACAGCCATCGACATGTTTTCTCTCTTGTTCTGACATTGTCCGAGCTCTAGATTTAGGACTAAAGAATCCATTATAGCCACGTTCTTTCAGTTCTACCAGAAAAAAACTGTAATACTGTTCTGTTTCAACCTCCTGAAAAATTGCAAATGGCAAAGTTATTCATAAGACAAAAATCAGTCCCATGCATTAACTTTACATGTACAGTTTGAGGGGTTGAAATAATTTCAAAGGACTAATCTGCAGAATAAGGAACATAACATCTTTCAACGTACATACACCTCGGTGTGTGTGTATTTTCTTATATTTTAGAACTGATGGGGAATAAGAATCAGAGAGAGAGGAGGAACTTCGCAGATTCTGATTGAAGACCACAGGTAGAAAGTGACTTGCCCAAGGTCGTGTAAATTATTATGACAGTAGGACTGAGACCCAAAGTTACTGTGTATCAGGTTCAATGCGCTTTCCACTATGCCCTAATTATTCTATTACTGCTGATGGTAAAGCAAAACTATACCTTGACAATGCCATAATTTCAGTAACACCACCACCCCATTAAAAAATAGTGCCAGGGCATCTGGGAGAGAAAGATGAATATTTAACTGTCATAGCAAATGCCTAAAACCCAAATTACCCCATTTGCTTCATTTGGCAGCACAGTGCTGCAAAACAAAGCAGGTAGTGAATGCTCCCAGGATTTGCTAAAAACAGAGCCAATATTTTAAGAATTGCTGAGCTGGAACTTCAAATGTGTTAGGGTAATGTGTTCCCAGTCTGTCCCTTGCTTATCAACACTGGGGCATTTGTGCAATTTACACAAACACTCTTCTCATGACTTACCTGAAGACTTATGATATCAGCATTGCAGCTCAAAATTTCTTGAATAATGGCCTTTTTCCTGTAGTCCCAATTTAGTGCCCAAGATGGACAGTAGCCGTATAACTGCCGGGTCGCATATTTATCACAAAGAACATTATAGCACATGACAGAAAACAAGGCTGTAGGAAAGATAACTTTACTTATTCACACACGTGGCAGAAAAATAAAAATAATTAATTTCAATAATTTTTACTTAAATGCTAAGTTTGACTTTATTTCACTCAATATATATTCACTGAAAAGCTACTATATGCCAGACATAATGGATAAAAGTAAAGTTGAATAAGGAAGGAAAGACAGATAGCTGAACAAATAATGATAGGATGTGTTATCTGCTATAGAGATACCCACAGAAGGTTTGAAGCTAAAAGACTAAGATCTCAAGTCTCTCTGTCCCTAAGACCAGGGCTCATCACATCTGTACTCCCTCCACCACTCTGCTAACTGCTAATACATAATGTGGAAAACTGACAGTTTTCCTAACAGGCATGGCTAATTTTCTTCTATAGAGCAACTATTATTAATCCATGCGAAAGGAAAGAGGTATCATAGACCAAATCCTGTTACACACATCACGTAATTCCCAAACTATTTTCATACAAGTTAAGTTAAAAAGAAATCAGAGGGGGGTCCTGGGATCAAGCCCCGCATTGGGCTCCCTGCTCCACGGGAAGACTGCTTCTCCCTCTCCCACTCCCCTTGCTTGTGTTCCCTCTCTCGCTGTGTCTCTCTCTGTCAAATAAATAAATAAAATCTTTAAAAAAAAAAAAAAAGAAGTCAGAGGCCATTAGTCAATTTCTCTCTCAAATAAGTGTTTTGGCTGTCTTATAATTCTGTAGTATCAAATTCATTTGGAACACATTATGGTTTGGAAACTTCCAATATAAAGATTTTGGTGTCTTTATTATAATAAATGAGTTTGGTCAATACTTTACAGCGGAGCTTCTTCTCAACAGTGGCACTACTGACATTATGGGTGGGTAAATTCTTTGCTGGGTGCCGGGGGGAGGCGCTGTGCTGTGCAATGTAGCATGCTTAGCAGCATCTCTGATTTCTAACCATGGGCTGTCAAGAGCACTTCCCCCGGTTTTGACAATCAAAAAAATGTCTCCAGACATTGCTAAATGTCCCTTGGGGGATGAAAATGCCTCTGGTTGAGAAGCACCGCTCTACAGCATACCTATGGCATAGGAGGAAGACCAGCTAAGCAACAATTAAGTCTTTATTATTCTCTCTCAAACCAAATCAATCTTAAGCATTCAACTGTAATACAGCCCATAATCTAACCCATGCCAACACACTGTTAGATTTATAATACCAAGTAAAAATAAGTTAAAAAAATATAAGGCTACCAACCAGTTGGCCTTGTTCTGTCTGGTTCTTGCAACATAATCCAAGATCTTGGAGGTGGCTGTTCTGTTGAAACTAGTTGAATATAAAACAAAATTAAGCAATATTCTTACACATCTTCCTAAAAAAACTGTTTGAACAAATGACCACTTACTTCTTTTTGCAGTACCTGCCAAATTATCAAGCAAATAGTTCAGTAGCCTTCTTGTTCCATCTGGTTCCAGATAGAGGTTCAATATATCCTGGGTAAGTGGATTTCCTGGAAATATTTTTTAAATACATAAAATGAAACCAAAAAAGGTAACAAAATATTTCAAAAGTAAAAAACATACTGAAATTATCAGAGCTATAACAATGTATATAGTTACCAGTAATATACCAAGCCAGAAAAAATATTTTTCCAGTTTTTGATAAGAATAAAAATGATTCATACCATGTTCTACAGAAGTAGCCAGAAAATGATAATTGTGGACTGATGTCAATCTAGAAGAGATCTAATAGCACTCTGTATCTGGCCCTGCCTCAACAACACTTTTACGACAATCAAACCCAAGTGAAACTAGAAGGGGAAGAGTGGGAAGGAGGGTCAGACCACGGAAAGAGGACAGCCACTGTAATGAATCAGAGAATCAAAACTTAAGAATGCAACAAAGCTAACAAGATATCCTGATGACAAACGTAGTCTGCACTTAGATTTTTAAAAATTCTACTAAATAAAGTAATAACAAGATGAGACAGATTTGGTTTATGATTAAGTCACTAAGGAAAGGGGAAAACCCCAGGGCTGTGAGCCATCTGTAAATTCAGTAACTCTTTCCTAAGTGCCAAAAATGAAAGCAAGTGCAATGATTTACATGTATCTACAAGAGTCTCAAAATCCTCTCAGAAGGATTTCTTATGTGCTTATGAAAATTAACAGTACGATGAACTGCTTGAACAGTGAAGTTCCTACCCACACCACACAAGGGGTATATATATTGTTCTGGATGCCACAGCCCCACTTTAAGAAAGACTAATAAATTTTATAGACTGAAGAAGACAAACGATTTATAAATCATTATAAAGTGATTATAAGATCTTAAACATAGCAAATGAAAAAAGATTTTCAAAAGATGTTGCCCCCCTCACTTTTTCTGCCAGAGAAGTGTTAAGAGAAAGCCAGCAAAAACAGAAGGTTGAGTAAGATTCAGAGTTTCATAATGTAATATGACTATGTCCAGTTTCAAGTGAAAATCACTCATCATACCAAAGATTTCAAACTAAATGAAGAAAGATAAACAAGATTCCAACACCAAGATGACAAAAACATTAGAATGATCTGATCTAAATACAGCAGGCATGACAAAAAATGCTTAAATGAGAAATAGCAAAAACATGTTTGAAATAAATGAAAAAACAGAAAGACTCAGCAAAGAAAAACAAAGTTTTGGCAAATGAACAAAACATGTTTTTGAAAATGGAAATATTAAAACTGAATAACAGAATAAATGAAATAAAAAGTTTAGTGGATGGGTTCAACAGCAACATAGAGGGTCAGAGGAAAGAAACAGTGAACTGAAGACAGAACAGTAAGAATTACGCAATCTGAACAATAATAGAAAGGAAACCGAAAAAAATGAACAGAGCCTTAGGGTCCTGTGGGACCACAACAAAATTCTAAGGTTCATGTCCTCAGAGTTGTGGAAGCAGAGAACAAGAATCACTGAGCTGAAACAGTACTCAAAGAAATAATGGCTGAAAAACTCCCCAAATTTGGAGAGAAAAACAAACCTGCAGATTCAAAAGTCTGATAAAACCCAAACAGGACACACTTAAATGAATCCACAGCAAGGCACACCATAATTAAACTTCTGAAAACTAAAGACAAAGAAAAAATCTTGAAGGCAGCCAGAGAAAAACACCTTACCTCTAGGGGGAACACACTCTGAATAACAGCAGACTTCTCATCACAAGCCACGGTGGTCACAGGGAAGTGGCACAAGATTTTTAGGGCTGAAAAAAAAGAACTGGCAACCCAGAACCAATATCCAGTGAAAACAGCCTTTAGGAAGGAAGGAGAAATAAAGACATTCTCAGAGGACAGAAAACTAAGAGAATCTATTGCCAGCAGATCTATCCAAAAAGAATCAGAACAGAAGTTCTCTAAATACAAAGGAAATGATAAAAGAAGGAACCTTGGAACATTATAAAGAAAAAAAGAATATGATCTTCAAAAGGGGGCAAATATAATAATAGGCTTTCCTTTGCTTAAGCTTTCTAACTCATCTTCAGCCATTAAAATATTTTTGTAACACTGGTTTGGTTCTAAATAAACGTAGAGAAAATATTTAAGACGATACTATAAACAGGGAGCAAATAAAAAGTCATCAAGAGAGTTAGGAATTATATATTTCACTCAAAATGGCAAAATGATAGCACTAATAGACTTGATAGGTTCTGTATGTTGTCCACAAGAAACTCACTTCAAATGTAACACTATAAGCAGGTTGAAAGGAAAAGGATGGAAAAAGATGTCATGAAAACAAAGGAAAGCAGTAGTGACTAATTAGTATCAGATAAAGTTGGTATCAGAGAAGATAAATTTACTAGAGATACAAAGTGACATTACATAATGTAAAGCAGAACACATAGCAATTCTAAACACGCATCCCCAAAATGACAGAACTGAAAAATATTTTAAGCAAAAACAGAACTGATAGGACAACAGAGAAATCTCCAATTATGCTGGGAAACTAACAATCCTCTCTCAACAACTGACAGAACCAGACAAAAAAAGTTCCAACACCATCAATCTGACACTAACTAGGTTAATATATAGGATCCAGTTGAGATTTATGGAACATTCTACCCAATAACAGCACAATACATATTCTTGTGCATGCCCAAGGGGCATAAACTAGTAAAGACCAAACCCTGGGCCATAAACCACCAAACGTCAACAAATTTAAAAGAACTCAAATCATACAGAATTCTTCAACCACAGGGAATCACACTAAAAATTAGTACTGAAAAGACAAAAGGGAAATCTGGAAACACTTGGAAAATTCTAAACAATTCATGGATCAAAGAGGAAGTTTTAAGGAAAATTTTAAAATGCACTGAATTAGGGGCACCTGGGTGGCTCAGATGGTTAAGCGTCTGCCTTCGGCTCGGGTCATGATCCCAGGGTCCTGGGATCGAGCCCCACATCGGGCTCCCTGCTCAGTGAGGAGCCTGCTTCTCTCTCTCTCTCTACTGTTCCCCCTGCTTGTGCTCTCTCTCTGTCAAATAAATAAAATCTTTAAAAAAAATTTAAAAAAATAAAAGTAAAATGCACTGAATTAGTGAAAATGAAAACACACCATATCAAAATTTGTGGCTGGACACAGCTAACACAGAGCCAAGAGGGAAATTTATAGGACCTAATGCATACGTTAGAAAAGGAAAAATCTCAATTCAATAATCTAAACTCTGATCCTAAGAACCTAGAAAGAACAAAAAGCAAAAAGATGGATTAAGAATACTAAAGAATAGGAATCAATGAAATTAAAAACAGAAAAAAGGAATTTTTTAAAAAGCTGTTTCTTTCAATAAAATTAGTAAACCTCTACCAAGACTGACAAAGAAAATGAAGACAAAAATTACCAATATAAAAAGTGAAAGGGGATATCACTACAAATCTTACAGAAATCAAAAGGATAAGAAAATACTATGAACAACTCTGCATACATAAATTTAACAACTCATATGAATGGGCCATTTCCCTGAAAAACACAAACTGTCCAAACTCACTCAGTACATAATTTAAATAGCCCTATACCTATTAAAGGAAATGAATTCATAATTTAAAAAATACTGGGAAAGAGGGGCACCTGGGTGGCTCAGTCAGTTAAGCATCAGATCATGATCGTCTCAGGTCATGATCTCAGGGTTGTGGGATCAAGCCCCACGTCAGGCTCCACACTCAGCATGGAGTCCACTTGAGATTCTCTCTCCCTCTTCCTGTGCCCCTACCCCTGCTCAAGCATGCTCTTAAATAAATAAATAAAAATAAATAAAAAATAATAAATAAATAAATAAATAAATAAATAAAATCAATCTTAAAAACTGACAGAAAAGAAATCTCCAGACCCAAACTGCTTTGCAGGAAAATTCTACTAAACACTTAAAGAACTAACTCTAATTCTACAGACTCTCAGAAAACAGAAGATGAGGGGGCGCCTAGGGGTCTCAGTCATTAAGTGTCTGCCTTCGGCTCAGGTCATGATCTCAGGGTCCTGGGATTGAGCCCCGCATCGGGCTCCCTGCTCAGCGGGAAGCCTGCTTCTCCTTCTCCCACTCCCACTGCTTGTGTTCCCTCTCTTGCTGTGTCTCTGTCAAATAAATAAATAAAATCTTTAAAAAAAGAAAACAGAATATGAGGGAACACTTTCAAATTCATTTCATAAAGCTAGTATTACCTAAATACCAAAACCAAACAGTTAGCATACAAATAAAAATAAAGACAAATACCCCTCATGAATACTGAGTCAAAAATTCTTAAGAAAATATTAGCATACAGAAGTAAGCAATAAACAAAAAGAATGAGAACCATGACCAAGTGGGATTTATTCTAGGAATACAAGGCTGGTTCAATATGCAAAAATCAATTATAAGGCTAAAGGAGCAAAATTACATAATCCTATCAACTGATGCAAAATAGGCATTTCACAAAATTAAAAACCCATTCATGATTAAAATCTCCAGAAAAAAAAGAAATAGAGGGAAACTTCCTCAAATTGATAAAAGACAATCCACAAAATGCCTACTGCTAACATTACACTTAACAGTGAAGACAGAATACTTTCAAAGATCAGGAAAAAGAGGGATGTCTGTTCTCACAACTCTTATTCAACATAGTGCTAGAAGTTCTATTCAGCACAATAAGGCAAGAAAAAGAAAGAAAAAGCGACATATTGGTAAGCAAGAAATAAAATCATCCCTATTTGTAGATGACATAATTTTCTACTACATGGAAAATTCCCCCCAAATTAAAAAATTTACCAAAAAGAGCACACACACTCACACACAAAAAAGGCAACTCCTAGAACTAGAAGCAAATTCAACAGGGTGGAGGATACAAGATAAAAATACGAAAATCCAATTCAAAAAGACATATGTTTACTGCAGCATTATTTACAATAGCCAAGATATGGAATCAACCCAACTATCCATCCATAGATGAATGGATAAAAATGTGGTATATATATGTACAATGGAGTATTACTCAGCCATTAAAAAAAAGATCTTGCCATTTGCTACATGAATGGACCTATAGGATATTATACTAAGTGAAATAAGTCATACAGAGAAAGAAAAATATGACACAATATCACTTAAAAGAATCTAAAAAACAAAACAAATGAACAAGCAAACAAAAACCTGATTGTTAAATACAGAAAACAAACGGGTGGCTGCCAAAGGGAAGGGGGGAATGGGAGGATGGATGAAAGAGGTAAAGAAAAAAAAAATCCCCACTGTATTTCTATATGCTCAGGAATGTACACATGGAGAGCAAAATTTAATACACTATCAGTTACAATCACTAAAAAAAAAAAAAACCACAAACAAAAAGAAATAAATCTAACAAAACATTTACATGACTTATATACCAAAAACTACAAAATATTGATGACAAAAATCAAAGCTCTAAATATAGGGAGAGACACGGCACGTTCATGGATCAGAAGATTCAATTCTCCCCAGTTTGATCTCTAGGTTTCACACAATTCTAATCAAAATCCCAGCAATATTTCTTGTAACTAGAGACAAGATTATTCTAAATGTATAGGGAAAGGCAAAGGAACTAAGACAGTTTAAAATGTTTTGAAAAAGACAACCATAGTAGAGGAATCAGTCTATCCTATTTCAAGACTTAATTATCCTATTTCAACTTTCAAGTAACTACTGGCAAAGGGATAGACACATACATCAATGGAAAAGAGAGAATCCAGAAATAGATCCACACAGATATGTCCAACTGATCTTGGGAAAGGTGTAAAGGCAATTCAATGGAGGATAGACTTTTCAACAAATGTTGCTAGACCAACTGGACATTCATACACTAAAGCATGAACCTTCAACTAGTCCTGGCTTCTTTTAGCTCAATTTTAACTTCAAATAGATCATAGACTTAAATGTAAAACATAAAACCATGAAACTTTTTTTTAAAAAAGATTTATTTATTTTAGGGGGGAGGGGCAGAGGGAGAGGGAGCAAGAATCTCAAGCAGACTCCCCACTAAGCACAGGGCCTGATGTGGGGCTCCATCTCATGACCCCGAGATCATGACCTGAACTGAAATCAAGAGTCGGACGCTCAACTGACTGCTGCGCCACCCAGGCGCCCAAAACCATGAAATCTCTAGTACAAAACACAGGAGAAAATCTCTGGGATCTAGAGCTATTCAGAGCATTCTCAGACTTGACACCAAAAACCAAGATACATAAAAGGAAAAATGATAAACAACTTCATCAAAACAAAAAACTTCTGCTAAATACGAGACCCTGTATGATACTGTGATTTGTAATAAGAAATATATATATATCTGGTCTTCATCCACTTTCTTAAAGCTCCTAAAAAACCCTTAAAATTTCCTATGTGAAGAAGTTGTAGAGGTGTCTCTTGTTAACGAAGTAACTTTCAGACCCTGCCTAAGGACTGGAGACCGCTTGACAGAGGAACCAACCATGTGACTAGAGAGCTGGAATTTTCACAGTCCCACCCTAGAGGAAAAGGGGACTGGAAGTTGGCTCAATCATCAAGGCTAATGATTTAATCATGCCTATGTTATGAAGCCTCTGTTAAAAACTCAAAAGCATGGGTTCAAAGAGCCTCCAGGCTGGTGAACACACGGAGATTCAGGGAGAATGGCGTGCCTGGAGAGAGCATGGAAACTCCATGCCTCTCCCCCATACTTTGCCTTATGCATCTCTTCCATCTGGCTATTCCTGAGTTATATCCTTTTATAAAAAACTGGGAATCTAGTGAGTAAATGGGTTTCCTGATTACTGTGAGCCACTCTAACAAATTAATGGAACCCAAGAAGGGGTTGTGGAAACCTTGGTCAGAAGCACAGGCAAGGAGCCATCATGTAGGACTGAACCCTTATCCGTGGAATCTGATGCTATCTTTGGGTACGTAGTGTCAGAATTTAGTTGAATTATAGGACATCTAGCTGGTGCCCTAGAACAGCTTGTTGGTGTGGGGGAAAGCCCCCCAGCGCTGGAACTGGGTGTGTTAAGTGGATGAGAAGACTACATATTGAGAAAACAATGTTTGCAAATCACATCTTTGACAAAGGCCTATTATCTAGAATATACAACAAACTCCCAAAACGCAACAGTATAAAACAGTCCAGCCGGATAGAACGCGGCAAAGACGCGAAGACTACACCACAGATGATGACATACAGATAACAAGGAAGCACATGCAAAGATGTGCAGTATCTTCAGCTAACAGGGAAATGAACATTAAAACCACAATCAGATATCACTACACATCTATCAGAAAGGCTAAAGTAACAACAGTGACAACACCAAGCCGGTGAGGATCACTCATTTATCACCGGTGAAAATGTCAGATAGTACAGCCACTCTGGAGAACAGTTTGGCCGATTCCTAGAAAACTAAACATGACACTAACGTATGACTGAGCCAACTGTATTCCTGGGCATTTATCCTAAAGAAATGAAGACTTATGTTCACATAATAACCTGTACGCAGCTAACAGCTGCTTCATCCATAATAGCCAAATATTGGAAACCAGCCAGATGTTCTTCAACAGGTGACTGGCTAAACAAATCATGATACATCCACACCACGGAACACTGCTCATCAACATAAAGGAGCAAACACGAACAACCTGCATGATTCACCAAAGAATTAACTTGAGTGGAATAAAACTGACCTCAGAAGGTTACATACAGCATGATTCTACTTATACAATAACAAAACTATAGAAATGGAAAACATACCAGTGGTGGTCTGAAGTTAACAAGTGAGCTGGGGCAAGCTCAGAAAAATAAGAGGATTTGTCCAAAAAAAAGGTACAATTAGTGAAACTATCCTTCCAAGAAAGAAACATAAAACCTAGATGTCAAACATTAGAGGATCTTTCTGAAATGGAAGACCAACAGATCCTCAAAAACTAATGTGTCACAAAGACTGCCCTTCCCCTCCCCCAAACACTTCAAAGTCTTTCCTATACATCAACTCAATGTGAAAACCCGTGACCACTGACCGTCATTTCAAATAAAGTTTGTGAATCCTTAGAGAAATGAGTACAGTCAAAGGTTTGTAAAATAAATACCGCAAGATTATAAAACCTGAAAGTACTGAAAGGACATAAAAATAGTGGCTGCCTCTAGGCAGCTAGGGACCTGAAGAAGAACAAAGAGGGTTTTCAGACTCTGTAATGCCCTGTTTCTTTTGCATTTGAAAACGGACACAAATGTGACAAAATATTGTTAATTCTTACGGTCAGTATACAGATACACGTTGCTACATTTTACATTTTTGTTTTTCAAAGTTAAAACAAGAAAATTTAAGAAGTAGGGAGACAGAAAGATCTACAGCTCACATTTCTCTGACCTCTATTTTAAGAAGCCTCAGCCAAGTCCATCCCACACAGAAAAACATTTTTCCAAAGAACCATTTATAAAGCTGGTATTTGTTGAGTATGGTTTTACATACATTTGTAAATATATTATTTATATTTTTCTATTTCATTTGTTTTTGTGAAATTACTGTTAACCTTTATGATATGAAATGGATTTACAAGAATAAAACCTCATTTTACAACCTACATACTCTTAAGAAATAACAGTACAGGGGCGCCTGGGTGGCTCAGATGGTTGAGCGTCTGCCTTCGGCTCAGGTCGTGATCCCAGAGTCCTGGGATCGAGTCCCACATCAGGCTCCCTGCTCCTTGGGAGCCTGCTTCTCCCTCTGCCTCTCTCTCTCTCTCTGTCTCTCATGAATAAATAAATAAAAAGTTTAAAAAAAAAAATAAGAAATAACAGTACAATTCTTGAAGACTTCATTATGTGACTTTTTTTAGGAATTGATTCTAGAGTAAGGTGGATACAAGATTGGCAAATAATCACTTAACATGATAAGAAAAATTCTACGTACTGACATATTATTAAAATAGGACTTTCAATCTTGCTGTTTTAAAAAACATATTTCCCAATAGTTCTCACTGGATCAATTATGCCCCCAAATTCTAACAGAGTAATGAAGTCCTCATAAACCAAGTTTTAAAAAATGATCAAAAATTGTTATTAGCAGGTCCAAATGGCTCAATAATTTACTCACTGATTTCTGCACTTTGTGAGTCTCCATTTTTTGAGGTTTGAATACAAGGGGGGGGGAAGCTGTTTATAGTATGATGAAATAAAGTATGACCTCAGGAATGCATCATCAGAACACAGAACTGATCGAAACAAAGGAGAGAGAGCAGAGCTGGGCTAGGAGTGAAAAAGAATACAAAGATTAAGAGACAGTCTACAGGTGGAGAAGAGAGAAAACCACTGAGATATATCTAAGGAACTGATGAAGTTTGGGGAAGAGTGAGCCTGCAAATCCCTGGCAAAAGGATTCCCTTTTACAGCTTCTCTAGACTTAAAGACATACATACAAACCACAAGAAACACAAATAGGGGAAGTCATACCTTTCAGGCCTAAAGTCTGCAACTGAAACAGTTTTCCCAGCTCAAAAGGCAGAACTCGTAACAGGTTGTTATTTAAATGGAGTTCCCTGTGGATGTAAAAGTTCCATGTCAGAAGATACATAACCTTATAACTCATAGCTAAAATCAGCAATATAGTTTCTAAGAATATAATCTTGTAAGAATGACAAAATTGTATAGTATATGCATTAGAATATACTATAGTGTGTGTGTGTGTACAGTGAAGTACAGTGCTTCTCAAACAATGTAAAAAAACAATGGCAGCTATACTACCAATGATTATTTTAATGATTTTTTTGGTAAAGATAACTATAACTATCAAAGGAATCTCCAGTAGGAAAAAAAGACCCAACATTGAGACATTTAAATTTCCTCCAATTAAGTTTTATCTATCAATTTTTAAATGTGAATAAGTACTACTTCCATAATCCCTGGTTCTTGGAATTTAAATGAACCTTGGTGGGGCGCCTGGGTGGCTCAGTCGTTGAGCGGCTGCCTCCGGCTCAGGCCTTGGTCCTAGGGTCCTGGGATCGAGCCCCACACTGGGTTCCCTGCTCAGCGGGGGGCCTGCTTCTCCCTCTCCTACTCCCCCTGCTTGTGTTCCCTCTCTTGCTATGTCTCTGTCAAATAAATAAAATCTTTTTAAAAATAAATAAATAAATAAATAAACCTTGATTATTACTTAGTGAACCAGAGGTTGGCAAGGCCATAAACTGAACAAGAACAACTAAATAAGTTGTTCCCATTTATTTCCACATATAACATATGGGAAAGGAGGTCTTTTAAGGAGATTAAAAATGGTCATAGTATATATTCAGTAATTAAGCCTAAAACAATGTCAAAAAGCTGGACTAGGAGCAATAAAGAAACTCTCATAAGGTCCTTATTCCTTTTTACTATGCAGCAAACGGTAGAAGGCAACATAAAAACCAGTGGAATCAGAAAAAAAGGCAGGTAACATGAAATGGGGCAAGATTTTCATTAGGACTAACATAATAACTAGAAATTAGCTTTGCATTCAACTTGAGTAGGTTCCACCTACCTTACAAAACAGATATAATAAAATAAAAAGCAATTACCATTTATTAAATACAATATGTGTCAGGCAGCTTCTTACTCATTATTTCAGATATATCTAATCTCAGCCCTGGCTAGGTAACTACTATACAGTAACTGTATACAGGACAAAACGCTCAGCAAGGTTAAGGAGCTTTCAAATTCACACACCTTGCAAATGGCAAGGATTCCAAACTGAACTGTGTGACTTCACAGCCTATCGACCTCCTATACCCCACACTACAGTCCCCCAAATCTAATGACTAATTTTAGCTCAAGTCCAGACTTTATTACTATCACGCATACAAGCCCAGGGATGGCCAAAAAGTTTTCGCCCATTAGCAATGGTTTCCGGGACCTTGTGTTAGCCATGGTGTGGTGCCCCAGAATTTCAGAAGAAAAAGCACCACAACCATCTGTCATTATGTAGAATAACATAACTGCCTTCTATTTGTTGACCCCCACTTTGTCCAAAAATCTTGTTTAAGAATAAAGTATATTATACAAATTATAGCAATAAAACAAATTTTAGGCAATGAATCTACTGGATTTATTATTTGTTGGCTGACATTCAATTTTCCCAGAAAACTTTACATACAGGATATAATTATGTTTGCTTTCGTTCAAATACCATTTAATTGGTAGTGCTGTTTCCTGGCAAATAAATGCTCTATTTTGTTTTTAGGGGGTATAAAGTCATATAGGAAGTCGAATCTGCACACCTGAGTGATACCATGTTTCCGAGTTCTGCCGGTAAACTCCGGATTTTATTAGAGGACAGGTCCAGATATACCAGATTGTGGAGCTTGGCAATGTCTGAAGGAATGCGGGACAGAGAATTGTCACTCAGATGCAAAGCTGTCAAGTGAGTGAGGGACCACAAAGATGAGCTTAAGCTTCTTACTTTTCCTGTAAGAGAAGAAAAAAAATGGGGAAAGGATTATATAGTGGTCTCTACAATCTGGCCCCTGGATTAACATCTAAATAGATGTTTCAATGAGTAATAATTTATCATTTAAAAAATTGTGAGGAAGGGTTTAACAGGAGAAAGCTTACCTATTCTAAGGACAATACACTGTTACGACTAGGTTATAAATTCTCCTTAGCAAACTAAAAAAAAAAAAACCTCAACGTTTAGATTGCATCATCATTTTTAAGAGCATAAAAGTTAAGACTTTATCCTTTAAGGTTGCCTTAACTATGACATGAAAGAAACGATTCAACTAACTTATACTGATGATAAATCCAGTATTTTAACATGATTAAAATTATGCCCCCAAAAAATCAAATCCAGTATCTCAGAAGCTTTTCCTAGCTATACTCTAGAAAACAAGAATTCTGCCTGAAAACAAAAGGTAAATAATATATTCTCAGCTTCACGAAGTTTTAAGACCAGGGTACCCAAGTGGTAATTCCATCAAGAATCATGTAACAAAAAAAAAAGCTGTACTGAATAATTACAAGTAAAAATACTTGCCCAGAAACATTACAGATATGAAATCATAAATATATGATCAAACAGTAGTAGACACACGATTCAGTAACTAAGAAAAGAATAATTTCTTTCAATGCAACATTAAATCAGTACTTTGGTACATTTTGATAAGATGACAACCATTTCTACAATCCATCTAAGAACTAAGAACTTTCCCCCAATCTCTTTAATGGTCCAGGATCTAGTCTGAGACAGAATGAAACAAACAGATGTAATGGAAATACACTAGTCTTTACGAACTGATTTTCTCTTGGCTGAAAAAGCAATCTTGAGACTTCTAATCAAGATGGAGTAACAGGGACCAAATTTACTATCCTACCTGAACAACAATACCAGACAATGTACATGAATCAACAAATTTCAGAGATCAGACATCAACCAGTGCATAACAGTGATCCCTGAAGGATCACTAACAAGTCAGGCCCTACAACTGTCTCAGCCTGTGGACAATAGCACAGGGAGGGGATCCCAGGGGGGCAGCACAGTGATCTCCCCCAAGTTCTGGAGACAGGGAAGCCAAGATGACTAGAATTTACAAAGGCAGAGTACCAGAGAGGAGAGAGATGAACAGACAAAGAAGTCTGGAGATGGGAAAAAGGTCCCCCCTCAAGTTTTCAGCTGAGTATTGATCAGTATAAAAATGTGAGAAATTGCCTAAGCCAGATGAACACCCAAAAGGAGTAGAAACAACAATCCCCAGGTTTACACAGAACTGAGGCTAGCTACCAAAGGGAAAGACCTCATAACTCATAAGATGCTGGACTTAGAAAATCAGCCCTAGACTAGAGACCACTCTGGTCTCACCTAAGAAAGTTAAAGAGCAAGCCTCAAAAGAATTACACTGATTCTAACTGTATCCCAAAACAAAGCTCAATACAGGTTATAGGAATACAAAAATATGCATCACCCAACAAGGCAAAATTCACAATATCTGGCACCCAATAAAAAATTACCAGGCATGCAAAGGAGGAAAATAACAGCAATAATGAAGAGAGAAAACAATCAAAACCAGTTCAGAAGAGAGAATGATGATAAAATTAGTAGACAGTTATTGGAAGCTACTGTAACTGTATTCTATATGGTCAGAAACTAGAAGACTACACTTGTTAACCAGAGATACAAGATAGCATAGACAACCAAATTGAACTTCTAAAAAGTTGAACACCATGTCTAAAATGAAGATACAGCAATAAAATTACCCAAAATGAAACAGAGAGAGAGAAAAATACTGAAAAAATTCACATCCATGCACTCTTCGAAACTTTAAACAGCCTAATATATTCGTAATTGAAGTCCCCAAAACAGGTATGAGTTGGGGACAGAAAAAAAAAAAGCTTAAGAAATAAACCCAAAAGACAACTATATACCCACATGCAAAAGAATAAAGTTAAACCCTTACCTGACACCATATACAAAAAGTAACTCAAAAACTCTTGGAAGAAAAGAGAGGCATTAATCTTCATGACCTGATATTATGCAATGGTTTATTACATATGACACTAAATAGCTCAACAAAAAAATATATTAAATTGTACTTCACCAAAATTAAAACCTTTTGTGCCTCAAAGAACACCATCAACAAAGTGAAAAGACAATCCACAGAATAGGAGAAAATATTTGAAAATCATAAATTTACTAAGACATTTGTATCCAGAATATATAAAAAACTCATACAATTCAGTAAAAAAAGACAAATAATTCAATTTAAAAGTGGGCAAAGAACAAACAGGTACTTCTCCAAAGAAGATATACAAGTGGCCAACAAGCACATGAAAAGATGCTCAGTATCGCCAGCCATCACGGAAAAGCAAATCAAAAAGAACAATGATACACTACTTCATACGCACTAAGAGGATTGTAATAAAAAAGACATAGATGATAACAAGTATTGGCAAGGAGTAGAGAAACTGGAACCTTCATACACTGCTGGTAGAAACATAAAGTAATGAAGCCACTTTGGAAAATTGTATGGTAGCTCCTCAAAAAGGTTAAACACAAGTTACCACATGAGCCAGCAATTCATTCCTACGTATATACCCAAAAGAAAGGAAAACATGAGTCCACACAAAAACTTACCCACGAGTATTCATAGCAGAATTATTCTTAAGAGTCATGAAGCAGAAACAATTCAAATGTTCATCAACAGATTAATGGGTAAATAAAATGTGGTATATTCATTCAGCAACGTATGAAATATTAATACACACTAAAACATGCATAAATCTTAAAAACATTTTGCTAAATGGAAAAAGCTGGTGACCACATATTATAGGATTCCATTTACCTGAAATGTCCAGGATAGTAACAAATCCACTGAGACAGAAAAAAAGATTAATGCTTACCAAGGGCTGGCTAGTTGAGATGAAATGGGGAATGGCTGCTAATGTGTACAGGGTTTCTTTTGGGGACAATGAAAATGCCAAATTGTGGTAATGGGTGCACAATTCTGTGAATATACAAAACCACTAAATGTGCATTTTAAGTGGGTGAATTATGTAAATTTCATCTCAAGCTATTACCAAAAAGAAAGAAAAAGAAGTTGATGAAGAGAGGCAGAAAATTCTCCACTTCTGATGAAAAGTATAAACCCAGACACAAAAAGCTCAATGAACCCCAAGTACATGAAAACTCCATGAAGAGCAAGAAAGAAAACTACAGGAAGGCACATCTTCATCATTGGCTTAAAACAAATGATAAAGAGAAAATCTTAAGAGCTGTCAGAGGAAAAATAATTACACAGGGAAACAAAGATAAAAAGGTCTGCAGACTTCTGCTTGTAAACAATGCAAGAGAGAAGACAGCAGAGCAAAATCTTTAATGTACTGAAAGAAAAAAAATCCTACAAACCTAGCAACCCAGCAAAAATATCTTTCAAAAATGAAGGCAAGTTACAAGATGAAAAGAGCTACGGGGATGGATTGTAGTGATGGTGGCACAACATTGTAAATGTATTTGATAAAAACCTTCCCACAAACAAGATTCAAGAACCAGAGAGGCTCAATGGTGAATACAACCAAACATTTAAGGAAGAACTAATAACAATTCTACAGATTGATCCAGAAAACTGAAAACAAAAAGATACCTTCCAATTCATTCTGAGGCCAACATCACTCGTTTCCCAAAACCAAATAAAACTAGTACAAAAAAAAAAATACAAATCAAATCCAACAATATATTAATAGGACAATGACCAAGTAAGATTTGTGCCAGGAAATCCAAGGTTTGTTAAACGTTTGGGGGAAAAAAATGATTCAAAAAACTTTTCTTAGAAAAGAGAATCATCGGGCGCCTGGGTGGCTCAGTTGGTTAAACGACTGCCTTCAGCTCAGGTCATGATCCTGGAGTCCCAGGATCAAGTCCCACATCAGGCTCCCTGCTCAGCAGGGAGTCTGCTTCTCTCTCTGACCCTCTTCCCTCTCATGCTCTCTATCTCTCATTCTCTCTCTCTCTCAAATAAATAAATAAATAAATAAAATCTTAAAAAAAAAAAAAGAAAAGAGAATCATCTACGTAGATATAGAAAAGCATCTGACAAAATCAACATTTAAAATCAGCACTTAATCAAATCATGAATTCAATTTAAAAAAAAAGCTCTCTCAGTTAGCTAAGACTAGAACAGAACTTCTTCAATCTTGACAAAGGGCATCAATGAGAAGGTTAGTGGCAAGGGAATAAATGTTTTCCTCCTAAGATCAGAAACAAAGCAAGATAGTTCCACTATCACCACTCCCATTCAAATTATGCTGGAAGTTTTAGCCAATGCAGTAAGACAAGAAAAACTTAAAAGTGGAAAGACAGAAGTCATGTTTATCTGCAAATGGCACAATCATCTATGTAAAATCCTAAGAATCTCCCAAAATACTACTAACAAGTGAGTCTAGCAAGGTTGTAGAATAAAGTATCAATATACAAAATATCTACTGTATTTTTATATATAGCAACACACAATCAGAAACTGGTATTTAAAACATTTACAACAGAACGAAAATTATGAAACAGAGGCAAATCTGACCCCCCAAAAATGTGCAGAACCTGTGTACTAAGAACTACAAAACACCCTGAAAGAAATCTAAGAAGTCCTAAATAAGTAAAGAGATACAGTGTTCACAGATCAGAAGATTCAATATCGTTAAGATATTATATCTCCCCAAACTGATTTACAGAGAATCAACACAGTCACAATCAAAATGCCAGCATGTCTGAAACTGGCAAGTGGATTCTAAAATTCACATGGAAATTCAAAGGCCTTACAAAATTCAAAACAACTTTGTTTGAAAAAGAAGAAAGCTGGAAGACTAACACTACCTGATTTTAGAATTTTTTTTTTAATATTTTATTTGTGAGAGAGAGAGAGAGAGCACAAGCAGGGGGAGAAGCAGAGGGAGAAGGAGAAGCAGGCTCCCTGCTGGGCAGG